CTGGATTGCTGTCCAAACATCTTGCTCTTCTTCATTATGATTTACTAGTGTTTTTTAAAATGTGTTGGTATGTACCATCCAGCATGTTCTCAATGTGTGAAATGTCAACTCATTTGCATAAATATTTACAGAACTGCATAATTAACAAGGATTTCATTAGCATAATATTTAAAACATAAAATAATGAAGCAAACCGAGAAGTAAACACTTTGGCAACTTAGTAGACATCTACTACTTCAAAGCATTGTGTTATTCCTTCCCTCTGTCTGTATCGGAGCCTGTAGATACGCCGTGTGTTGCCATGGTATTCTTGTCAAATGTGTGTAGGGGAAATCTGTTTTAAAATGCACACATCAGATTTAGTCTTCTGTAACTTATTTCTTCCAGCTGGTCAGATACCATAGTAGGTTATTATTTAAAGAATTTTTTGAGGCTTTGTATTGCTCCTCTTTGGAGCACTAGTTTGCAGGGTGTAGAGGAAAGGGATTTTCTTCACATTTCACTCTGTGTATCAAATAAAAGCAGACCAGAAAAACGTCAGCCAGCACAGGCAGAACACTAAACCACTACTCAGAACTGTCCTTAAGCATAGCAATTTTTGGAAAGTATTGCAAAACCAGCTAGTATACCTCCATCCCTTCCCTCCGGTAGTTAGAGGCTAGAAAGTTAGAAACCTTCTAAAATTGGCATGATCAGTCCTTGAAGAATTTAAGACACTTTTTAAAATATCATTAATAACATTTATGTAAGCAAATGGCTTCTCTGTAAACACTGCTTATACACTTGGTAACTATCTATGAATATAAAAGCTGCCATGCTAAACCCGTTGCAGGACCTGTGCATGCCACTAAATTCGAAAGCAAACAAACACCACCATCATCCCCTAAAAAAAACCCCAAACCTCAAAAGCAAAATTTGAGTGTTACTGGGATAGCAGAGATCAGTTCTGCTGAAACAATACAAATAAAAAAATACCAATTCAAGTGAAGACAGCAAAAAGAAATAGAAGTTATTACATGCAAAAACGGAAGATGGCCTCAGGAATTTGAGCAGCTTATGGCCAAGCTCAACTCAATGTTTTTTTTTTTTTTTGCCAGCAGACATGAGCAAACTTAGCTCACACTGTGAGATGGCTAGATGCTGTATGGCTGCAGCTAAGCCTCTGCTGAGAAATCAGGGGGATTCCCGACAAGTCTGGACACAGGCGTATGTCTGCCACGTAGATACTCCTGTAACATGATACCAACCTCGCAGGGCTACTGTAAAATGAAGGAACGGCTGTCAGGATAAGGATGTAGAAGGTTCTGCATTAAGCACTTACCTAGAGATGTCGCTTAAGCCTATAGGAGTTGGTAGACTAAAATTGCACCAGGCAAGGGGTTGTCCAAAAATGAGGTTCTGGGGCAGTCTGTTATATTTGACGCAAAAATTATCAGAGTATTGCTGGAGTTAATACTTTTTGTTTTAAATGATTAAACTTTCTTGTACTACTGGAAGAAGCTGACTGCTAAGATTTGTGATTGCAGAAATCTGCTCCTAGGGCACTTTTCCTGTAACTGGGCAGTTAGTTCTTCTGAGAGGCTTTGTACAGAAGTCCACCTTCACTCTAAAAGGAGTGAAGTATGTTCTAATACTATGCTTCCTCTGATTTGACTGTTAACAGCTTAAAAGGAATTTAGTTAATTTCAATATTAAAGCAGAAAGATTTGGAGTTCCTTCATAGAATTATGGAATCACAGAATGGTTTGGGTTGGAAGGGACCATTAAAGACCACCTAGTTCGAATGCCCCTGCCAAGGACAGGGACACCTTCCACTAGACCAGGTTGCTCAAAACCCAATCCAACCTGACCTTGAACTCTTCCAGAGGAGGAATATCCACAGCTTCTCTGGGAAAACTGTTCCAGTGTCTCACCACCCTCATGGTAAAAAATTTCTTCATTATATCCAATATAAATCTACACTCTTTCAGCTTAAAGTATTGCCCCTTCTCCTGTCACTACGGGACTTAGTAAAAAGTCACTCTCTGTCTTTCTTCATTGAAACGGCCACAAGCAGGTCTCCCCGGAGCCTTGTCTTCTCCAGGCTGAACAGCCCCGACTCTCTCAGCCTTTCCTCACAGGAGAGGTGCTCCAGCCATTTGATCATTTCTGTGGCCCTCCTCTGGACCCACTCCAATACGTCCATGTCTCTCCTGTGCTGAGGGCTCTAGAGCTGGATGGAGGACTCCAGGTGGGTTCTCCCCAGAGTGGAGCAGAGGGGCAGAATCACCTCTTTTGACCTGCTGGTTACGCTGCTTTTGATGCAGCCCAGGATACGGTTGGCCTTCTGGGCTTAAGACTGGGCCTGACTTTGAGTGCAGCCTAGGGAAAGCTATGTTCTAGACGTGGCATGCTCTGCACCCTTCATACAGTGCTCTTAGTGTATTGATAAACATATAAAGTTTAATGCCAGAAGATGATTCTGACATTAAATAACTGTTTCTCTGTTTTACTAGGATAATAACCATGGGTTAATTTGTACCGATGACAATACCACTAGAGGCCAATGACTGACTTGGAAATGCAGCCCAAGATATTGGTGCCCTAAATTTGTGTTTCTTCTCCATTAGAATTCTTTTTTTGCTCATGGTCTCTCTAACTTCTGACTCTTTTGTAAGTCTTGCTTGGGTAATATTTCTTGATTTGTACTGAGTTCAGGCAGCTAGAGTCCATGGGTAGTTAAAACTTGTTTTAGGCATTACTTAGAGACTTGGAAACATTTCCTAAGCAAATTGTCTCTTCATTCCCGAGGCCCTCTTTCCTGGAACATTTGTCTGCTAGGGCAAGATTAGTGTGTTGAGAACTGGACTTGATGTAACCATCTACTGTTGGCTTGATAGATGCAATTGGATTGACAACTGTGATTTGGCTGGAAGGAATGCTGTGGGAGTAGGGCAGCTTGCCATCAGCCATAAACATGGTCATGAATGTCTAGCAGGGTGAGCAGAATGAAAGGATGTGAGGAACCTCATAAAATGGAATAGAAAATCAGAAAAGCCCTATTTGGCATTTAATAAACTTGCTCTCCGATCAGTTACTTCTCAGTCAACTTTGCTTACACTGGTGGAATCTTGTTCTAATGGCTGAAGGCAGAACTTATCTCTGAACCTGTACAGAAAATGCACGTGTACCTAAAGAAGAGAGCCATTCCAGGTACCTTAGTCTCAGTGCAGTTCTGATGAACATATTTAGAAGTTCACTGGAGCGATAGTCTCCCTTTCAACTTTTCTTAATTTTAAATAAGCCTTCATTCTATATACAAAATCTTTAAAATGGCCATGCATTTTGGTCCTTGGAGTTACTTGCCATCTCTTTTCCCTTCTTCAGGCACTCTATCTTTCTGTCCCAAGGTGCCATGAGACTGCATTTTGGTCTGCAAAAATTGATTTGTGCAAACAGAACACTTTGCAGAAGCAGTAAAAAGATCTGTCTGCGGATTTTTAGGAGTTGGGTAGCTCCTCATTTCTAAATCCTTATCATGGTTTGTACATGATATCTGAATCCTTATCATGGTTTGCACATGTGCAGTCTGGCCTTCACAGTGTAGGTATAGTGAGTGGAAGGGATAGAGTACTTTTTCTAAGAGGAGAGGGGCTGTACACAAGCTCACTAGCTGCAGTTCTTTATGTAACCTAACAAATGGAAGGTGTAACAGGAATGTCTTTTTTTTTTTTTTTTCTTAACTCTTCTATCTTGCTACTCCTTAGTGTTAATGAAAGTTTTTCTTTAGGAAACATGCATTGCAGAAGAACTCTAACTCCCTGTTATAGAAAACCAGTTGTTGAACATTTGCCTTAGGGCTTAAACCAGCAGCTATAGCTATTTCAGCTGAAAGAGCTCCTGTTGAGGACAAAGGAGGACTGCAAACATGTGCAGCAAGAAGAACATACAGTTTACTTGTTTAGTGTTAAGATGACTATAAGTAGCACAGAAGCTAATGAAATTGTTTTTACTTTCTGTAAGGTGTGCTTACAACCTTTGAAGCTGTAAATAGCAAGATTGTTTTCCTCTGAAGTGGTTTTCGGTTTTTTACTTCCGCTCTTTTAAAAGTTTTGCGTTCTTTCACTGAGGATGTTAGTCATAGCATGTTGACTGACACTTGTTTATTCAGATACACAGGTGTGCTTTCTAACAAATTTATGGTTTTAATTGTGTGAATCTTAAGAATAAAAAAAATTACTGTGTGACAGTTTCTTGCTTTGGTGTACAGACCTAGTAAGAGTCAATGACCAAGCAGAAAAGTTGTCTTGTTTCTATTTTGAGTTTTACCATTAGCACAAAAGCATCCCACTTCAGCTAATTCCCTGCCTTGTGACAAAGAGTGATATAACCCACTGGTCAGATGTGTTATTTCAGGTCCCTCTCTAAGCTTGATTCACAGAAATGTGAGGTGTTACAGATCCTGGACTAGGGAAGGCTATACTAAGTTCAGCTGTAACATAGTAACTCAGGTTAGTAGCCTTGAAGATTGCCTCCTTTAGATTACTACACCTTAGACTAAAGTCAACTGTGACAGTAATAAAATGATGTAAAAAAAAAGGTTTTTTTTAAAAAAGTGTACAGGCATTTAAAAAGTCAATCTGTTTGTCTCTGCTTCAGATTTACATACTGTGGTAGTGTCATGCCTTAGGCACTGTGGTTTCACTGGTGATTTCATTAAGTATGTATGTTGTTCTTATTCACATACTTGTTGTATTAGGTCAAAAACCTTCGTTGTTTGTTTAGATAGTTGAGCTAGTCTCCAAGTCCTAATTTGCAGGAAGGATGCTTTTCATCAGACTTGGAGCTTTTCAAAGGGACATTTCTCATAAAATTGGAATTCTGCAGCCAACACAAGCCTTAAAACATTGCAAAATAAAACTGAAGCCCGTTGTCAAATATTGTACGACTTTAAATTATTATGGATGAAAGCAGTGTGAAGATTTAATTATTCATTTTAGTGTATGCTTGTTTTCCCCTAGGTGGCATTGGCAGGGTTGTCAATGGTGCTTTTATGGTATTGAAAGGTCATCGGTCAATTGTAAACCAAGTCCGGTTTAATCCTCACACTTACATGATCTGTTCTTCTGGCGTTGAAAAGATTATAAAGGTAAGATTAATTATCAGAAAATGTGTTCTTTCAGTATTTCAGGAAGAAATGCTTTGTTTTGTTCAGCATCATTCCTTTCCACGTCCATCCTCATCTTATTCTTTTGTAAAGCAGTATGTCTCATTTGCTGGCTAAACTGATGCAAATTTTTAATTGGGCATTTAAACTTTAAACTCCATTTCAATTTTAAAGGTTTTAGAGATAAGGGATAAGATCAGAATTTCCTAGATTTGTACCTTGAAAAAGGAATTTTTCTTCCAGTTTCATTCCGTAGATAATTGAAGTCTCATGCAAACAGTCCTTCTCAGGAGAGTTTGGTCACCGCTGTAACGTGATCTCCTAAGACTTCTGATACTTTGGGCTAAAATTTAATAAAAATCTCTCCAGAGAGTATCATTGAGCCTTAGCCTGGCCTGAGCTAGCTGAATTTGGCCCAAATACTGCCTCAGGAGCCCTTCTATAATATTTGGACACACTTCTGCATTGAATCAATTCAACATACCTTTCTGTGGCTTCCAGAGGAAACGGGACTCTTAATACCTTCCACAATATGTCTTTTCTGAATCTTCTAACAATGTACAGTATTTTTAGAAAGCTTGTACCTTTTTTATGCGGAATGTAAAGAGATAACAAACTTTGTTAGGTTCTGAGACTTTTATTTCCTTAAGGAAAGACAGCTGGTATTGTGGGAGCAATGCAGAAACTTTCTAGTCATTTCTAATAGCAGAGGTTGAGGGCGGGGAGGCAGAGGATTATGCTACACTAATGCACTTTGCATTCTGCTGCCATAGAAATTTTGCTATAATTTAGGTCTATCAACAAGATGAAAGAAACCAGAATGATTTAATTTTTAAGTAGGATAATGAGAACTGAGGCTGATTCTACCTTTTTGCTGAATGACTTCATAAGACTTACCTGCATGTGGCTATAAGTGATGTTGTTTGAGTATTAGTAAATGCTTTAGTCAGCTACAAGTTGACTGAATGAATTTGTCCTGCAAAGGAATGTTTTATTGATCTGCAACTTATGGACCAGAACTGGCCCCAAACTCTGGGACCATGGCCCAAAGCCCAGCTGCATCACTTGCATTACAGCTACTATCAATGTTTGGGTTCTGGCTGTAGTTCAGCTTTCCTTCTCTTCTGTCTTCCACTGGTACTTTAGTTTGCTTTTCTACTTTGTTCTTCATCTGTGTCCCTCTGACAGGTTTGATCACAAATCTGTCAAATACAAGCTTTGAACAAAAGTGCATTGAACAGTCTTAGCAGCTCACTGATTTTTCGATTTCCAAACAGTCAAACTGCCACTGTTTTAACAACAATTTTGCCAGAGGCTTTTTTTTTTTTCCACTTTGGGAACTTGATTCATGCAAGCCTGAATTCTCCCTTTTGGGTTTTAGATCTGCTGACCCTTCACCCTATGAATCCTTCCTGCATGAGTGTGCTTAGACTGTTGGATTAGCATTGGTATAAACATCCCCTGTGTTGCTTTTGTGTACTTCTGCTAGGGTTTTGGTGAGGGTTTTTGCTTAGTGATTAAAAGGTTAGTTCGATTAAGGCCCCAGTCACAGGTTGTGTAACTCTTTCAAAGACACCTCTGCTTGAATGCTTCCTTAGAAGAGAACACCTGTTGTGTCGCAGTATGTGCAGTGGAACTCGCGTAGCTGATTTGAAGGAACTGAATTCCCCAAACGTTGCAAGCTAGAAACAAATTAAGGGAAAGGTGTTTAACGTATTAAGTTTGTTAGCGAGCCAGAACTTCTTACCCTTTTGTTGTATGTCCTTTTGTCTCAGCTTGTAATGTGCCTTGTTTGGGGATCAAGTTGGTTTAAGGCTTGTATCTTGTCTGATCTGCACGACTTCACTCTTTAAAGGTACTGTCTTAGTGAACAGTGATTTGTGGGTGACCATACGATGGTGGTTTCTTCTTCTTTCCAGCTACTTCTACAGATAGGCTGGAGGCTAGTAACTGCCACTAGCAGAAGGGCAAAACAGGAAAATCAACAGTTCTAAGAGGTTGTTTACTGCATTAAAAACAGCTGGGAACACAAGTCCTTCCCGTGCATGGCTATCCTTCTTTCCCCAATGTAAATGTTTGATGTGCTTGCTCAGAGAGGTTGAGACGACAAGAGGAAGAGCCTTAAATAAAACTTGTAGTTAGGTTTTTTATGATTTCTTGTTTTGCTGGAGTTGGTTTGTTTGTTTTAATCGGTTCCTTAAGAAGTGTCCTTCCTTTTACTGTCCTTCAGGTGTCTTCTAAAAATCTTTCTGGAATTAAATCACAGAAGATAACTTCACTATGGTTGGCTGGTGTTCCATTCCCTCAATTGTAGAAACTCTGTGATGAATTAAAAATGTGGATGCAAGTAGTTGTTTGTCTGAGCCCTTAATTTTTAGACTAGCCAGCCTAAATTTAGTACTTCTAGAAGTGAGGAATTGATAGCACCAGCATCAAGGCATGATACAGACAAGCTATTCAATAATTCCACGTGCTTCTGCCAACACACTTGCTATTTTAGTGCTGATTGCAAATGAGATACAAATTCATCTCGGGCCTAGCCGTGCTGAAATGAATAGTATTCACAAGAATTATTTTGACCTTTGTGGTTATGGTTGGTTGTTTTTTTTGCTTTAGTGTTATTTTGTTGTAAAGCACCTGCAAGAATGTAATGTGGTAGTTCAGCGGTTTAGGGTTTGCTTTCTGCAAGGACTGAGAATACAATGGATGAGATGGGGTGTGTGTGTGTGAATATTCAAGTGAGGAGGTTTCAGAAACCTAAAGTAAGACTCAATAAGCTCATTAATAAAGGATACTAGAAGCCTTGACTCCAGACAGTGTGTGCTGGACACATGTACCCAGATGAATTGCTCATTGCCGTTCATTTCAGAAACCTGAACCTCAGTGAAATTGTGTGGAAAAGCACAGCTGTGAACTAAAATCATCATTTGCAGCAAGCATTCACCATCAGGGCTAAAGCAATATAAAATAGAAAAAATACTACTTTCTCCTCAATGAAGTGTGTAAGACATTGGGATGTGCTAGCAGGAAAATTAATTGCATTGCAGGAGAAATGAGTGAGGCCTTCCCTCTGATGTGTGGGGTATAGAGGAGGGCCACAGAGAATTATGCAGTTAGAAGACAGATCTAGAAAAGATAAAATAGGTAAAGTACGTAAGGATTTTCAGAAAGAAATACTGTTTTGTATTGTAAATGGAATACTGTGTAACTGAGAACAACTGTTGTAGGGCCCATTTGTTTAAAAATCATCAGTATATCAAAGATAGCAAAGTCTATTTGCCCATGTTGCTATGGTGACAAATTAATGTCATTGTGGCTAGCTGCCTTTGCCTAATCAGATAATCTAATATAGCTGGTTTTAATTATTCTCATGCTACAGGCATAACTACTTTTTTGCTTTAAAATTTGGGGGTTTGCCACCATGGAATAGAAGCAATTCAAAGATGCTCTCTGAAGCATCTCTGCTGAATTGGAGAACCAGTTTTGTGCTCCCCTTTTCCATTACTGTTCCTATTTTTATATCTGTACTCAGGGCATCAGTGAGTAATACTCAGCTCCTTAATCCTCAGACAGAGAAAGAACTTCTTAGTAGATTGTTGCTTTAGTGGCATGATTTGCCAACTTATTTTCTCCAGTTTGCTCACATTCTTCCTCAACATGGCATCAGTCAGAGGATGAGAAAAAGGCAAAGGCATTCCATTTACAAAGAAGCTCATTTCAGATGCCACAGAGAGCACTGCACCAGTTGCTGCCAGTTTAAAGACTTCCCAGTTCTGCCAACTATAGATTCTTAGTCTGATTTCTTTCTGGGACTCTGGCAGGCCCTCGCACTTCCTCATACCAAAATGCCTAAAAAAAGTAGAGATATCAATCTCCAGAGATATCTGATCCTGTACAAACAGGTATTCATCCTGAATTCCCTTGACTTCTCTTTATTATTTACTCCTTCTCTCTGAATATATCTGTCTTGGAAGGGAGAAGCCTAACTATGGACTCTTTGTAGCTATCTTTTCAACATTTAGCACTGCTGTATTTTCCTGATGCTTGTAGAGTGAGCAGAAAGATCTGGTAGTCCTAAAAAGGTTGTGGAATCTCTCTGCACACTTTATGTACCTTTTTAGATGGCTTTTATTTATAAAACAGACCTTTCCCAGAGGGACTTCAGAGCAAACTATCTCTCCTCCATTTATGTTGGTTCATACAGAATCTAAGCATTTTCAGGAGTTCGCTTGCTTAAAAAAAGTTTTATAAAACTTAGTGATCAATCTAACGCTACTAAGACTATTTGAGGAAGGGGCATGCCAGCCTGCTTGTCCAGGCATATAGTGTGAAGCATTTACAAGAAGATATATGCCTTTTAAATACAAAAAGAGCTGATATATTGCTGACATGCTCAGTAGTGGGACAAAGAGGGGAAAAGATCTGATGAACTGTGAGAGAAGGTACTGAACACGTGCTAGTTAAATCGTCAGGAAGGCAGCAACTCGGAAGAGGAGTCCTTTGAGCAAGCGGAAGCAAGCAGACTTCTATTTTTCTATTCAAAAACTTGGTGTGTCCCCAAATCAACAATCTCTCTCATGCATCCAGTAAAAGAAGACTCTTTCCTACCTTGTCTTTAGGAAGCGAAGCATGGAAAATAATTAGAAGATTAAGAGAGGTTCTTTCCGTTCTCTTGAAAAAATTTGAGAAGGTTAGGTGTGGTTGATGGAAGTCTATACGTAGTGGGTTAGGTTGGATTTTGTTATCTTTATCCAAACCTGATGCTTGTCCCTTGAGCAATGTGTCTAGTAAGTGCAGTGCTTGAAGCAAGCAATGGAGACTGTCTTCATTCTGGTTTCAAGTATTATATTAATGAACTGTATTGGAATAGAATTTGCTTAAATACTTCAAATAAGAAAAATGGCAATTGAGTACAAACAGCACATACACCTTGATATTGAGACATGTTCCTAGGAACAGGCTAATGTACTGCAATGAAAAACGCCTTTGCGCTGAAAAGGAGCTTCGTGATTGCCATACAGAATAAGGTGTATCTGCAACCCACTTCAATTTTGGAATAGTGTCTCTTTTATCTACCTAGCCAGATCATAAGTGGAAGCTCTTGTTAACCATGCATTACAGAGGATGCAAAGTAAAGGCATTCCAGTTTCGGAGAATTCCAGAATAAAGATTACATCTTAAAATTGGCTGTGCTAAACAAGTGATAGTAGTTAATTTATTTTGTTTTACTTCCAGTATTAAAGGTGTAAGGTCTTACTGTACACTGTTGAAAATCTCTGTGAATACAGAATTACTGGCATTCTTATGGGCTTTTTTTATAGTGCTTGTCATGGTAGTATCAGATTATGTTGCATGTGTTAACTACGCATCTGTGAGATGAGTGCTGATTATCCCATTTACACAGGCAAAACACTCTTCTTAGCAGTTTTGTCTACTTGGAACAAAACTTGACTAATTTCTATTTGGAAAAGTTTGATATTTTTGCCAAAGTCTATCCCAAAAGACCAACCTAGTATAGACAACTGGCATGGAATTTTTTTTCCCTGAGCTTGTTAGCATGGTAAAACCAAAGCATGACTGAAATGAGATATTTTATAAGCAGAATGTTAAGGCAGTATTGTCGATCAGCTACATACTAGCTCTGTAAGTGTTGTGCATCACATTAACCATCAATCTAGAATAAAGTGATATTGGTTGTCCAAAGAGTGCATTAATCATATTGCCCCCAAATCTGTGAGTAAAACCGAGAAAGGTGAGAAGATCCACCTATTATGTTTGCTATGGATTACCAGTTTCTTAGTGATATTTGTGGATCTTCTTTGGGGCTTTTTTATTTTTTCCTTTTCCCCTCCACACCAGCAAAACTGAGGGAAGGCTAGATGGACAGCACAGTGAAATCATTACACTTGGCAATGTGACTACCTCTCTCCACTTCTAAAGTAGCTTTCAGTAAAACTCTTGTCTTTCATCTTTCCCCACTAACTAAAACTGCTGCTGTGTCTTCAGAGGATGTTGGATGCTTTCTTTCCTTCGCAACTGTTCCCTGAAGGGAGTAGTGCAGGCCTGCTTTTCACCTCCATACTTCCAGCTCCCTGCCTGCTGATCACGTGTGACTGACTGTGCAGCTGGATGAAGTGTCACTCTACATCACTGGCATAAGCAACTCTAGTTTCCTGGGAAACAAGAGCCTTCATTAGAGCTAAGACTGTATTGTAGGCAACAAACTATTCTTACTATTAGTGAGTAAGCATCCCCTATTACATAAAAATAGAGCTTGGCAATTTGGGAGAAATTATTACACACAGAAATATTGAAATGATGGATAATCTGCAGTGTGAGAGCTTTTAAGTTCTGGATGTGTGAAGCAGATGCAGGAAAAATGCCCTCATAAAGGAGGAGAAAAAAACTTGTAAGTATGGGTCTGATGGGGGTAAAAATTAATCAAAACAATCTGAAACTTAGAATTGTTCTTGGTATTTGCAGTACTGTTCTATTTCAAATGCTTGTAATAGTCTATGAATTCAAAGCTGTGTTTTTTTATTTTCTGTTACAGATCTGGAGTCCTTACAAACAGCCTGACTGCACAGGCGATCTGGATGGTCGAATTGAGGATGATTCACGTTGCCTCTACACTCATGAAGAGTACATCAGTCTTGTGTTGAACAGTGGTAGTGGTTTGTCCCATGATTATGCCAACCAGTCAGTCCAGGAAGACCCACGGATGATGGCCTTTTTTGACTCCCTGGTGCGTCGGGAGATTGAGGGCTGGAGTTCTGACTCGGACAGCGACCTCAGTGAGAGCACAATCCTGCAGCTCCATGCAGGAGTAAGTGAACGCTCCGCTTACAGCGAGTCGGAGTCCTCTGCCTCTTTGCATCACTCCCCACCACATGGGGCTGAAGAGTCTGATGAAACTGCCTATAACTTAAGGGCCTTAAGATCAACTGAATCCCCCTCGGCCAGAGAAGACGTGGCTTCCCGTCAGCAGAGGCTCTCTGCACTGAGAAAGTATCAGGATAAACGTCTCCTGGCCCTTTCCAATGAGTCTGATTCTGATGACAATACCTGTGAGGCAGAACTAGATACAGACCTCTTCCCACGGCCACGGTCGCCGAGTCCTGAGGAGAATGAATCCAGCAGTTCTAGCAGCAGCAGCAGTACAGAAGATGAAGAGGAACTGCATGAACGACGCACATCTATGAGGCAACGCAATGCACTGAGGCGCCGACAGAAGGTGCAAAAGGAGGAAAGGACTAGCACTAACACGGAGAATGTGACCCCCTACATAGGTGAGGATATCTACGATTACCCCCAGATCAAAGTAGATGATCTGTCGTCTTCTCCAGCTTCTTCGCCTGAAAGGAGTTCAGCCAACAAAGAAGTTCTCAAAGAAAGGACCTCTCCTTGTTCAGACAGTGAATCAGTGGAGAGAAAGATTTACAAAGCTTACAAATGGCTTCATTATTCTTACATATCATATTCGGCCAGCAAAGATGGTGAGTCCTCCAGAGGAGATGGGGAGAATGACGAAGGGAAACCAGGAACTAGTGGAAGGCACAGTACTGCACACTTGCTAAATAAGGAAGATGGTTGGAACTTGAGTTCAGTAGTTGCTCAAGGTTCCCCAGCTCTTTCTACTGAAAGCCACAACAAAGAAACTTTAACAGAACGTGGTTTGATAGAAAATTCTAGTAATGGTCAAGCTCATGAATGTGACAATCAGCGGCGAATGGACAGTCAAGAGAACACATCTGAAGACACTAGCAGTGGAGGTATAGAGCATTCTTTTGAGACTAAAAAGCTCAATGGAAAAGCTAACTGCAAAGGGCTAAATAGTTGTACTGAAGAACCATGCATTCAGACTGCGGGACTTGTGGAACAGAAAAATAGTCAGAACTGTCAACCAGCCTCAAGCCATCACTCACTGGTCCCTCCGTTCTCCACCGTTGCTGTCTGTAGCATGTCAGGTCACTGCTCCAGAAACCAGACTGATGACAGTGAGGAGAGGAGCCTTGACACCACCTGTATTAACCACAATAACGGCCACTTGCATCTTCGCCCTTCGTGCTTCAACAATGGACAGAGTTTTGGAGAGCAGGAGACACTGACGCAAGGACTACAGGTGCACTCAAATGCTGATAATGGCAGCCTTGTACAGATGATCATGAGCTTGCACAAAGACTGCTGCCTGTCTGAAATGGACTCCAACAGCTGCAGTGTGAGCACAAGAGAGGATACTGCTGACTTGCATCCTACAGGCAGTGAGAGTAGTCAATCTCTTGGAGGACTGAAAAGACACAGAGCGGAGTTCGAAGATGCAGATTCAGAGAGTTCATCCTTAGAAAAGAAGTTAAAAACATGATAAATGCAAATGTCTCTCGTAGTGTGCACTCTCTCTTAAAAAAAAAAAAAAAAAAAAAGAAAAGGAACAAGAAAGTATTAAAGGCACATAGAGCTTGGGTCTGAAACATTGCGTTTGATTCTCTATTCCATTCTTCAGTGGGTCTGTTTTAGATTGCCAATGGTTCATGCTGTATAAAAATCCAACTTACTCCTTAATGAGACTGAGTCTAGTGTACCCATACAAGGTTCTGTTTAAAGTAAATCCTTATTAAGACGGTTGACTGAATTATTCTTGTGTGAACATGTGTCGTTTGTTCAGCCAGCCAACCAGGACTGCTTTAAGTTTTAATTGTTCTTCTAAGAAGGAATTTTTCCATACTGACACTTAGTACACATTGCAGGCTGAAGAATGATTGAATTAGATCACATTGGTGGTAGTTTGGGATGTGTTTCTTGTTGAGGAAAACAGGGAAGAAACCTTTCTGGGCCCTTTGTTCTGCTTCAGAAACTAAAGAAATGCAACCATTAGGGAAGATATTTTCAGAACTGACTGGTGTCTTTAGAGATGATACTTCATAAAGCACTTGCTTCTCATATAGTTCAGTGACGTTATTTTTATGCCAACAGAAGAGCTATAGGAAATGAGCCTCTTTCCAAAATCAACTTTAGACCGTTCCCATGGTGACATTCATTTTTGTGGGTTTTTTTTTTAAAGAAAAGAACTGAATAGCACAGTGTCATCACTATACTAAAATGTGATTGTTTGGCAAGAGGAAAGTATTATGCTGTAGGCCTCACTTTAACCAAGGGCTATTAAAAATCAGGCATTGAAACATACCTTTCTGTGAGCTTAATGCATAGAGATTTGTTGCTACTATTAAGAATATGGCTGTGAGTGTTGGTATGTATCTGGACTGTGGTCTCCCCTTCCCCCAAGTGCTTGCTTTTGGGAGGGTAGCAGGCCAAGGAGAAAATAGCAGAAGGATGGATATTAACAGCAACATTTGGTAAAGTCTGAAAACTGCATTTTTTAGCAGTTTTCTTAGCCCAGAGCTCATAATAGGTTGGCATTGGAGATCAGGGTTGGTGTTCCACCACCATACTGCAGGTATTTAAAACTCTAGATGGGTAGATGGATTCAGCAGAGTTGTGTGTATGAGAGGGCTTCAGAAAAACGTCCCCACGTGTGAGGGTGCCGGGACGCTGAGTCTGGCAATCCGAACCTGAGCAAGAGCGTAGCTCTGGCTGCTGGCTGCCAGGAGCTGCTGTACTGTTCAGGTGGACAGAGTCCCTTCTCGGGGGGCGAGCCTGGGCTCTGTTGTGAGTGGAGTACCTAGTGAGTCCTCTCGGCTCGGGCATGCTGGAATTGGCGAAATTGCACTTGCTTCCCTAGCAACAAGGTGAGAGGAGTCAGTGTGCGAAGGGAAAAGAAACCACCTATAAAAGACAGGAAGACTGTGTGTTCGTGCCTTGCGATGCTGACAACAGACAAAGAGGCTTCTTTTGAACCCCGGTAATTGTCACAGGCTTTCAAGCCCAGTACTGAGGGCTAGATTATTTTAAGAAACGGGAGATTTCTGCTTTCGATAGGACTCTAGCAGTACACTGCTGTAGAGCATTGGTCTCAGAAGAATTATTTCATACATGTAGCTACCTGGTAGCTGGAGAAGGAAGCAAGATGCCCTGTTAAAACATGATGAAAGTAAAGGAGCACTTCTGAAGGGATGCTGGTTGGGAAGGGTATGGGACGGAGAGTAAAGAACACAAGCTGAAAAATTTGCTTACAGCTACTGTGTGGCATAGGCTGTTTGCCCACACTTGGTCAGCTTTGCTAAGTAGGAACTTGGAGTAAATTGATGTAGTATTTAAGAAGCATGTAAGACTGCTAAAAGGGAAAGGGATGTTTTCAAACATGAGTGAAAGTGGCAATAAGAACAAGCTGATACATTTTTACCTTATTGAAAAAATTATTCTGTACTGATTGTGTTTTAGATCACTGCAGTGAAGATTGCTATAAGAGTGTTCTCCTTGGTTGTATAAACACCTTATTGTAAATGCTGGGTTTTAGCCAAAATCTTGAGGTTGCTGAGTCAGAACTACTTTTTTATTTTATTTTTTATAAGTTCTTTACACTGGAAACATTTTCTCAGCTGTCACTTCTTCTGCCCTCCTCTGAGGAACACCCAGATTGCTGATGAATGAGCATCTCCGCTCTCCTTTGACACGGTCATCTTTTCCCAGTATTTTCTCAAATGCCTTGTGGTCTCACTTTCTGGTTCTTTTGTTTGTTTTCAAAAGCAGAATAAAAGCCCCCGGGTTTGGTGTTAATGCTCCTCTGCAGGCTCTGGGCATAAAGGTTTGCTGTGGTTTCCCAAAGACAGCCTCCTGTGCTGTCTGCATGCTTGTTATTTCTAGTTTCTGCTGAGGAGGAGGAGGAAGGTGGGCTGCGATCTTAACCTTTTGTTCACAGGAAATTTCACTGCACGCAAGAACCATAGCTGCCGAACCTGTGGGTTCACCTTCTCCCATAAATAAACGTTATCAGCACTAGGCAGCTGCATTATCTGGAAAAGACCAAAAAAAGGCAAGCAAGCAGCAGCCTGTCTGCTGCAGGTCTCCTTGGCTGGTGTTTTGCTTTGTCACGGCTGCCGTGCATCAGCTCCGTGCCCCTGCGCCAGGCTGCCAACCGTGCTGCGTGGCAGCAGCAGCCCGGGCTGCTGCGCGGGAGCTGTGCCCTGTGTTTGGAATTGTCACTCCCCGCTCCTGGGGAAGGGGAGTCAGCCCTTCAGGGGAAAATCTTGCAAGTTTATCTTAAGAGATTTCACCTTTTCTAATAATCTGTGCTGTGTACTTAGCAACAAAAAGGTTGTGTAAATATTGAACTACCTTGTTAGCCACCATTTACTTATCATGCAACTTGTTATGTCAGGAAATTTGCTAGGCCAGGTTGTACAGTTCATCTCCAGAATCCTTATCAGTGGGAAAGAAAAACTCTCCCTTATGTCTCTTCATAACACACTGGACCGAGAAAGATTGATCTTTAAAGAAATCCATTTTGATATTCGTACAAGCTCACAAGCTGTGGATTTGCTTATTTCACCGTTCTCTGTTTAAAGCATTAATGTCAAACCAACTGGTTTGTGAGAGAGTCAAAGCGAACTCTTCCTCTAAGGCAGGCAAGCATGAGGCTTTTCTGGCCTGGGATATTAACCACTTTCAAAGACGCGGGAGGATAGGAGATCTATCAGCCGAAGTTCTGCTGGGGTTCTCCTGGCTCTCAGTGATCCTCTTACCAAAGCTGGTGAGCCTGCTCCAAGGGGAGTGGCTCAGTGGAGGTCATGCTTCGCTGTTGAGGAGCAGCTCACTCTCGCAGATGAAGCACGGGCAGAAAGATACAGCAGCGTTGAGAAGGGAGGAGCACAGGGTGTTGACCGTGGGCATACCAGCTGATCGCAGTACATTCTGAAATCCAGCCTGTCTCAGTTGGCGTAATAATTGGGAAGAACAACTTACTTCAGAACCTTTTCTTCTCCAAAAATTGCAGTGGATTTTTTTCCCCCCCTAAGTTTCATAATAGAAAAAGTGATTGAAACCTGGTCCTAATCTGTGTTTATAAGCCATGTCACTTGGTAGCTTTAAAATCACTCTTCCTCAAACAGGTAAAGAAGATAAAGAGAGTGAGGTCTGCTTCTGAGGTCTTGTGCTTTCCTGCATTGTCATGACTCGCTCACTGTGGCTGTCAGAAGCTGATGTGGCTTGATATTATGAAGGTCTTGGGATGCTTTCGTTTGCAGCTCTAATTTATTTTGCTGTTGGTGAACAAGAGCAAGACAGGATTTTTGTTATTACCTCACTGAGTTAACAGGCTCCATGTTGTTTTCATCTGTTTTCACAGGCAGTGCTATGGAGAGTGGTGCCCTTGACACATCCGATGCTTTCTCATTTTCACCCACTCGGATCCTCCGAATGTCTTTGCCAGACCTGGGAAGCTCAGTGTTTTGCTGCAGGGTCTGCAGAGCACCAGAGAGTAATGCAAATAGCAGCAACAACTGAATTATTATGTGCATATGCACATAGGTCTTCAGGAATTCTTTAATAAGCTAATTCTGGCACATACATAATTTATAAAACACATCAGCGCACTCCTGCAGCTGTGTTGGGGTGCACTAATTAGCCCAGCTAATGCTATACCAGTATGAACAAGAATTCCGTTTACGAACAGCTACTGATAAAATGGCAATTCTTTAGGGGCAAAGAAACCACCCGCCAAAAACCTCAACAAAAAATCCAGCTGGTCATGGCAGGTGTGAGGTCTGCCAAGGTTTTCTTCAGTGGCTGTGCAGGTCAAAAGCAGCGAAATCTCCAAAGAGACATCGGTGTGCTGTGTTGTGGTTGGAAATAAGCAATCCGAATTCGGTGTTTGTGCTCTGCCTGACTCCAGTCAGGGACTTGAACTTGGGTCTCCTGCCTTTCACTTGCGTGTCCTAAGCAACAGCCTATTGCTTTATTCAGGAGTGGGATTTGTTTTTCTTTTGTCTGAAATGCAAAGAGGAAGGGAAATGGAAACAGTTCCACAAATACTGCAGCGGGGCCTTGAGCCCAGCTCTGTCAGCTTCCAGTTTGCTGAGAAAATGCTAGAGGATTCTTTCTGTCTTCTCTACCTCATGGGATCTTTGGTCCGGAGAAGATGAGGGAGATGCTGACCCCGCCTTCTGTGCATCCCATTTGTCCTGAACTTGGGAGAATTGTCCTTTCCAAACTGTGCAGAGTGTGTATGGTTTTATTTTTATTATTTTTCTGTAGACACATAATACCTACCAACCTCCTAAATGAGTGCCCAAGCCAGTGAGCTGTTTGTGCTGGGATATGGCTGGCAGGCTCAGCTTTTCTGTCTCATGGCTGTTTTTCTGTTCCGTTCTAGTCTCGATTATTGGCCAGCACCTCTGGAGTTGCTGCATGGATGTAGGTTGGCATCGTCGCTGCTCTGAAAGCCGATCAGAGTTGCCCCTTTCCTGAGGC